GCCTAGAACAGGGCTGTCAAATCACGCCCGGTTTAGCGAAAGGGGGGGGGGGAGGAGCCACGATACATCATATGACACCTCTGTGACAATGTGAATTTGACAGCCCTGTTCTAGGCAAAGAACACCACTCCTTCGTATTGGAAAATGAAGAAATCAGTAAGCAGAGAAGAGACAAGGCATTAGGAGCCGTGGTTCAGATAAGACAATGAGATAGATGAAGTAATTCATTTGTTTCTTCCCAAACCACCAGACCCAGTTTAAGGAGACAGGATTATTTGTGCACCCCAGCTTGAAATACTATGAGTGGAAATCTGGAGTTACTTTCATAGGCTCATTCATTCAAGGCTTGCTTGGCAAGAGCCAGTCTTCAATTATTCCTGCAATGCGGCAGAGGCCATTCAGAAAAGTAGCTATGGGATTTATTAAATTGTCCCATTGTTTCGGGATAATTTATCAAGGCAGACGGGGAGACAAATTTACTGACAAAATTTGAAATTGCCCCAATTGTATTTTCATGTGGGAAGGGAAGAAAGGGGCGATAGATCTTGACAGCAAAAAGGCATGGAGATGAGGGGCTCTGAACCCATCATAACCTCATTACAAAATTATTTTCTCATTGCCGGATTCTTCCAGGTGGAGGAAGTTCTTATGATCAGAACTCAAAGACAATTATATATGCTTTTCATTTCCCAAGTCTTTAGAGGGTAGATTAATACGTTTTAATATATTTAAAAATATTAATGCAATTAATAACTAGTCAGTGCAGATGAGGAATTCAACCACTGGGGGAGAATTGTTGGATCCCAAATTGTGCATCTAACTTTCCTATCTCTATAGCATCATCCTCCGAGCTGGCATGCATGTTCCTGATATTGGCAGGCTTGAGGCCCTATCCCCACCAATGGGATAGGGCCTCAAGCCTGCCAGATACCGTATTTTTCACCCCAAGAGAGTGAAAATCTGGGTGCATCTTATACACTGAATACAGTAGTTTTGGCCTCCCAAACCCCGCCCCCTTCATAAAAATGGATGTGCATAGGCTTTGGGAAGCCTGCAAAGTGCTCCTGTGGGCTGGGGAGGGCAAAAACGAGCAGGAAACGGGCCATTTCTTGCTCGTTTTTGCCCCCCAGTCCCCAGGAGCACTCTACAAGCCTCCCAAAGCCTTATGCATGCCGTTCTTTTTGCAAAAAAAGGGACCGATTTTTGCTCGTTTTTTGAGGCCTCTCAAACGCTCTGCATGCCACATTTTTCACAAAAAATGAGGCGTGCAGAGCGTTTGGGAAGTTTGCAGAGTCCAAAAACTTTTTTAAAAAAATTCCTCTTCAAAATCGGTATATTTTAACCGCAGCTATGGACCAGGCTAGTTAGGAGTAACTAGATTTTAGTACAAATGAAAGATAACAATCCAAGGATTACGTAGCAATTTGTGCCAATTCCTTTCTAAAATGAAAAGGTTTTGAAACAGTAAAACCAGCAGTAAAGTAAAATATAAACTTTTATTTAGAATTAAAGCGAATACTTCAGTATCACAAACACACAATATTAAACTTCCAAGAAATATACTGCTAATTTGGAGTGAGCATTTATTTTTGCACAATTACAACATGCGGACAAGTCCAGGGGAAAAAAAGAGAAAAGATGACAACAGTTGGAAATTTTCAACATCTTTCCCACCACCAGAGCAGCTGTCACAATAATTCGTACAAAGAGCAAGTCATTTTATGTGTGTGCATGTATGCTGATGCATAAGATGTTGACAAAATTCCTACAGATTCATCTTTGACAAGGAACAAGCTCTAAAAGGCAAACACTGCAATCTAGTCTTCTTCAGAAGAATCTCTTTCAAAGGTGTACACCATAAAGCAAGCGTCAGGTCTCTTGGGGACAAGGGGATGACCTGGTCTCACAATCTCAAAGCCCAAGAAGCTGAAGGTACGGAGCAGCGAAGCTACACGGGAAAACAAAGAGGTTTAGTACAAATTCCTTGAGATAAGAGGACACAAGGCTAACACGCGAGCAAACTCACCCCCCATTCCACCACCACCCCGCTAGGCATGCAGCCTCTGCTCACCCTGGCCCCATCCCAGTCTTCCTTACCTCGGTCATCTCTGTTCTTGTGGAAACAAATGAACACATGCTCTACTTGAAGCTGCTCTTCCGCAAACTCAAGAAGAACTGCAAAACTAAAGACAGGAAGAGAGTGAGGCACTTTCCCACCCCCCTCAGAGGTATTTCAAAACTATATTTTTTATCTAGCGGAAGATCCGTGATAGGAGAAAGGTTGAAAGATTAAAAAATAACATTTTGTATTAGGAAATCTACTACCACCTACCATATATACTCACAGATAAGCCAAGAATTTCAAGCTCCCAAATGCAACCGGAAAAAACTGGCTCATTTGTGAACCAGAACTCAGATCATGGCCTTAATATTGGTTTGTTGTATAAATGATATTAGCTATAGTTTTAAGAGTAGTTACAATGTGAAGGCAAGCTTATGTGTGTGGTGATGCATCTTTCATTGTATTTTGCTCAAATTTTTGAGGGCTGTCTTATGTGCTATTGCCAGAGGTGGTATTCAGCCGGTTTGGACCAGTTCGCCCAAACCAGTAGTGAAAATCACAGGTAGACCCACCCCAGCTGTATGCCGTCCTATTTAGGCACATTTTTGAGGCCAGGTGCCTGTGCAGAAGGGACATATGTGAGCAAAGTGTATGCACAGAAGGCCAGGCACATACGTGGAAAGGGTGCACGTGTGCGAGGAGTGGGAGCAGGCGCATACAGCAAACCGGTGGTAACAAAATATGAAACCCACCACTGGCTGCTGTGTAAG